ACCTTTTTACCTCTATTAAAAATAAGTATTCATTTACCTATTTTACAGAAATTCTCTGGGTTACTTTGTCAATTTTTATGAAATTTTGAATGCACAAATCACCATGTTAATTTATGATTACTCACTTGAAGGATTTATTTTTGGATTTCGAGCCTTTATTAATTTACGCAAATTAGTCCTTTCATGTAAATTGTGACTTTCTTCATTACTGTAACTCTAAGGATAAATGCACAATGGAAGATTTTATTCTTTTTCTGGCTTCTAAAAGAATTTTGCCCTCAAATTACAAACTTCAGACTGATAAGCTGATTGCCAGTTGTTTACTACAACGGTAAAAAAACCTGTAAACAGTAAAAAAACCTCCTTTTTTTTCCCCTGTTTTTTCCTGTGTCATCTGTTTAATCACACAAAGTAAGTGACTTTTCAAAGTTTTTGTTTTTATGGGGTTTTTGTTTTTTTTAAAGGAAAAATATCTTTTACTTTTCAATTTGGATATTGGTCACAATCATCGAATAGATTATTTTTGTTACTGTTTGTAATAGAAAATTAAATAAGGAACAGGCTGTCCGGAGATGTACCTGTATTAAAAATTTGTTTTCATGGAGTCACAAAGAATAGCTGAGGTTGGAGAGGACCTCTGGAGATCATCCTGAGCAGCCTCTCTGCTCAAAGCAGGGTCAACTACGGCAGGTTGCTCCAGATATTGTCTAGTTATGTTTTGAATATTTCCAAGGATATTCAATTTCTTAAGGTCTGTGAGCAACTTGTTTCAGTCTTTTACCATCCTCACTGGAAAAGGAATGTTTTTTCTTGCATTTAAATTGGATTTATTGTAATCCAGTTTGTGCCTGTAACCTCTTGCCTGTTCACTGGAAAACACTAAGAAGAGTCTGGCTCCCTCTTTTTTACCCTCTTTCACCAGGAATTTAATTTTATTTGAATTATTTGGTTATTTAAAAACACATTCTCCAAAGATGCGGATGATGTCAATAAGGTGAAGAAATTAAGAGGAATTTTATTGCCTTAAATTGTCTTCATTCTTCCAGCAGGCTTTCCAAATTTTGACAGTTCACTTTTTCTTCTGTATTTGAGTGATTATCTTGTTTCCTTTTTGGCTTGTTGAAATACGTATATCAATCATTACTCTGTAAGAGAAATACTAGATCAAACGCATATTTTCTTCTCTTGAGAAATGTGATTTAACTGTTTTATTCAAACCCTGGCTTTGGTCTTATGATTCCTGCCTTCTGATGTCATCCTCTCTGCCCAATATGCACAGTCAACTATGTACAAACATTATACCTGTTGTCATCTTTCTTTATCATTATGGTTCATCAAAAATTTCTACTGGAATAATCTTGGAGAGAAAAGCTGATCTGAGAAAATGGAAACATCTATTGGGAAGTTTTGGTTCCATTGAAACTAACAGGAGTTATACTGCCTGTTTTCGCTTGTACCTGAACAGTTGCCAAGATGCCAACTGATGTGATCTCTAGGTGGGAATGTCATGAATGAGTGAGCTGCCTGCTTGCTCAGTTTACAGCAAGAAATTTCTCATTTTTTGCTGGAATTCCTTGAGTGGGAACTCTGAATTACAAGTTCAGTATACAGTGTAGTTTTATATACTTGAATTTGCGTATGGTAATGTTTGTATGAAAGCTGCATTGAAAACACACAAGATTTTTAAAAGTTTCTGGAACTTCTTAGATAATTTCATTAATGCTGAAGTAATATACCTAAAATGGCCAAGGTTAATTTATGGAGTAAATTCTCACCTTCACTATGTGCCGCTGTGATTAAAAGTGTTGCTTTTGACATGCGGTATCAAAACTTTAAAATATGAGTGTGTTGGAGGCTGTGTATCTTCTTGGTGCTTATCTGCCTGTTGTTATGTTATCTCTTCGTTGGACAGTGTGCCTCTTAGTATTGTCCCTCCTCCAGGCTGAGGAGTACAATTTTTAACGTCTGCCATCTGGACCAAATTCTTGATGCTTTTTCCTAACTAATTTCACAAGGACTCTCAGTTTATACTTTCTTGTTCTTGTTTTTCATCTCATTCCTTTTGTGGTATACTATCTTATTATAAACAATTAACTAGTATGCTTTATTCATTTAAAGCTCAACAGTTTTCATCTACTAGTGCTCTTGAAACTCCCTATTTTGTGTATTGTGTCTGTCAGAAAGCCTTACCTTTAGCACATACCTTGATTTATACTTGGTTTATAAGTAAGTTATAAAGGTAATGTAAATTTGTAAAGGGATTCCTTCCTTCCTTTCACAATCTTTAGGCTGCCCAGGACCATTTGCACTTGCGTCCTTCCTACAATCTCTTCCTGATCAGGCTTTCCAGGTAAATGTCCACCTTTACATGCCTAGGTTGTTGTTTTTGTCCTGTATAAATATGCACATAACATTTTTTTTCATTCTGTATTTCTTCCACTGATTCTGGTCCCTGAGCCTTTCTTTCTCCATGTTCAGCTAATCATCACTAACTTCTAAAGTGTTTTTCAGCAGCATTAGGAGCTTCTTAATCTTGGAAATAGCTTCAGAGTGAAGCTTACTTAAATCTGTTTTTGCGGTTGATAAAGCTGTTGTCATGACCTTCTTGTCTTTTTCTCTTTGAATAGTCTTGTGTACAGGATCTGCTGTGTCATTTATAAAGATGGCTTCTCACGGAAGTGTTCTTTTATCTGAACTTTGAATCATTTAAGCAGAACTGTGAGGAGCACTTTCTTACTGTCAGCTGTATGAGTAATCGTTCATGCAGCTCTTTAGGTCACCTTTTTTGTGTAATGTCTTTCCTCAGTGTCAGTGTCAGAAATCTTACTTTCAAATAGTGTTGTACAGCACCTGCAACTCCATAATTAGCTCCTCTTTCTGCTCCAGTCTGTAATCTGCATTTAAAAATAAATAAATAAATAGCTCACTATGTTGGTGATGCTGACTTGCCTTTTGAGATCTATGTGGCAGTGTAATGAATGAGCCTTATAGGATTCTTTTAACAATCTAGGATGCTTTTAAGAATATTTGTTCAAGCCATTCCTTTGGACCAGTACACAGCCTCCTTAAACCTTTTGTTTGTCTTCACCAAGCTCTTTGAAATGTTGTTTTATCTCATAGGAAAAGCATGTTTTCAGGTATATATATCTAATCCTACTACAAATTCCTTCTGAAGGATGGGAACATCTTTTGTTCAAACACCACCAGTTCAAACTAATTGGTAACACAGAGTATCACTGCAGAGGAGTTAATTGAATTCCAAATCAATAAATGTTTACCTGCCTCAGATGAAATAATAGTTGAAAACCTTGCAGAAATTTCAAGTGTATTCTTGAAGACAGGGTCAGTCATTTATGGACTAATCTCTCTGAGTAATGAGAAATTTTTTTATGTGGTCCTGGACTGGACTCTTGTTTATCATGAGCTTCAGGTATATAGACAGCATTATAACCCTCTCAAGCCTTTGGTTCGCTGGACTAAATAGACTCTAATTGTACTGATCACCTGTATTTTACATACCTGCCAGTTTGAGTTCATCTTTCTTGACGTGTATACATGCAGTTGACATTTCTGTTTAGATCCCATCAGGTCCTTGAACAATAGTCTGAAATTTCAGTGTGGTTCATCCAAACTTCTTATATTAGGTAACTTCTTTATCTTCTAGCCTTTTTCTCTGAGGCTCAGTATTCCATGCCAAGTAAAACTTTGCTAAATGTGCTAAACTTGTCACTCCCTTCCTTCCTTCCCCAGCTTTATATGCTGAGCATGATGTCCTATGGTATGGAATATCCCTTTGGTCGGTTGGGGTCAGCTGTCCCAGCTGCGTCCCCTCCCAACCTCGTGTGCAACCCCAGCGTACTCACTGGTGGGGTGGTGTGAGAAGCAGAAAAGGCCTTGACTGTGTGTAAACAGTACTCAGCAATAACAAAAACATCTCTGTGTTATTAACAGTTTCCAACACAGATCCAAAACATAGCCCCATACTAGCTACTATGAAGAAAATTAACTCTATCCCAGCCAAAACCAGCACACCAGGTAAGATTTAATTCAGAGTAGAATGTTACATTGCAGTACGCAGAATAGGATGCAGAGTGTGTGTAGTTCTGGTATGTCCTAGCAAAGACATAGTATCATTCTCAGAACCAGAGGCAGTTTGTTTTGCTCAGGGTAAACTGTACTTGAGCCAGTCTGTGAAGCCAACAGTTAGTTGGAATTAGTTCAGCAACTTTGTATGCTTTCGTTTGCTAGTCTAGACGAACTTCAGTAGGAGAACTTTAGACGAGATTTAGTAGGATTTACTTTTAGTCAATATTTAATTAAATCATTCATTACTTACCAAAACAGATGGCATTGCTGTTTGAGGTATGTGGTTCATGAAGACTGGAAAATCTGTTTTGCATCTCTTTAAAAGAACTCAAAGTGCTCCCCTATGGGATTTGATTTTAGCAAATGTGCCCAAGAGGATGCTATTGCCCCTTTCCTTTGGGCTCTGATGACTGTGACTTTTCTCAGGACTTAAGTTACTTTGCTATTATGAGAGAATGAGTTCTCTTGTACACATGCTGAATGAAATCCCCACAGACTGAATGTGTAGAAAATAACATTTTACTTCTGTGAACTGTTCCTTAAGAAAACAATATAATATCCATTCTGTTTAGTTTTGTTTTTGATAGAATGCTGCAGTATGAATTAGAGGAGCCATGTAATTAAAGGTTTTCTGCTTGAAGTAATCCATTTGAGATTCATTTTGGTGTCATTTTCATGTCTGGGTTTATTTTTCAGGGACATAGTCTCCTTATCATTGTTGGTTTAGTTTAAATATCATTGTCTGGGATTAGTGTCTGATATTGAGCTGGTTAATGTAGTGTTAGTTAAATGTGAAGATTTAAATCAGATTGTTCAGTTATGAAATATTACACAGCTCAGAAGTATGCAGTTCAGATATTATCTTCGTGTAATCCATTATTTGCTTTCTCTTCTCTCTCCTCCAATTTTTACAGGAAGATATTTACATGTATGGAGGCAAAATTGAAACAAATAACGGCAATGTTACTGACGAGCTGTGGATTTTCAACATACACAGTCAAACATGGAGTACCAGAACTCCTGCAGTACTTGTACATGGCCAGCAATACGCTGTGGAGGGTCATTCGGCACACATAGTGGAGTTGGACAGCAGAGATGTGGTTATGATCATAATTTTTGGATATTCTGCCATATACGGTTACACAAGCATTGTGCAAGAATACTACATCAGTAAGTCACTTTCAAATCATTTTTACCATGTTCTGATTAAAAAAAATCCTGATTTTTATTTTTAATTGAACACTCCTGTTTTCAGAAAGAAAAATACATATTTTTGCAGAGTAAATAAAACCTCATCTTTTTTACTTCAAGTTACGTAGATCAGATTTCTTGTTAAGCAGTAGCATTTCATATGTGTTTGGAGTATAATGGCTTTGGCTGTGTGTTATGGTGTACGTGGCTGTGGTACTCTAAAGGGGGTACATGTTGAAACCAGAAATTCCACGCAGTGGTTATTGTTGTGTTGAAACTTACTTTTTTTACCACAGGCTTACTGTTTTTACCACAGAGTAGATAGAATAAAAAAGAATAAGTAGAGCAAAAAAAGAAAGGGCAAAACAGAAAACAATGAACTGGGCTTACTACAAAAATACAGTTATTCTGAAGGCTCTTTAATATTGCTGTAATATTTTCATTCTGATTTTTGAAATGTAGTGACTTAGTTCATCACTGTATATAGGGTTCTTTCTAAAGTGTATACATGCTGCTACTAGAGGAAATAAGAGAAAGTTAACATTAATTTTTGTAAATAACCTGCCATGTCTGTCTGGGATTTCCCTTGCAAACTGGCAAGCTTTTCTTAGGGGTGATTTTAAATGATAGAATTAAATAAACCAAGATAGTTTTTTATCTTACACATGGTACATCTAGGATATTATTTCAATAGAATAGACAAGAAAATCTACACCTTCTGATACATTTTTAGGAATATTTATAAGCCCACTAATTCAAATTATAATCTTCTCTTAGTTTTTTGGATTCCTTTTTTTCTACAGAATTGATCTGAGTCCCTCAGTTATTTAAGCAATCACAGAATGCATAATACAAAATTTCAAAGTAATATTTGTATGTTAAGGCATAATATATTGTTCCATTTTACTCTTTTTGCATATATGCATATGTATAGAAACATTGTTTAAGCAGATTTTTGGGGTGGGGAAATGCCTTCAAAACTTAGAAGTTTCTTATGCTTCCTGATGGTAGTGTTGAAATTTTGTAACAATGTTGAACAAGGGCAAAAGAGAATGGGAATAAGAGGAAGAGCACCAGGTTGTGCTTCACCCACACTGAAAAATTTGATTGAACTGCATAAAACTACTATAAAACTCTTGTCTTGGAATGATGTTTCACAACAGTTTTGTAAGATTTGTTAAGTATTAAAGGTTATGTTTTTTAAAAAAATTAATTTCTGATTTTTTTTTTAACATACAAGAGAGAATTTTTTTCTTGAAGATAAAAATATGTTGTTCTAGATTTCTGCATGCTCATTCGCTCTAATGTCTATTGGAACCTTGAACAATTTTCTTCTTCACATGCTGCTCATTTAGTCTGAAGTATGGAAGTACCAATATTACTCTCACCTATTATTGTGGTTAGTTTAATTATGAAGAGGGAAATGAAAAATACGAGGAGTACACTATTTGCTTTGTAGTGTAAAATTTTCTGTCTGCTGGATTTTATTGCTGGCCTTGTGGTTGAAATGTACAACTTATTCCTATTTTTTTTTTTTAATGTTAAAGCTATGTTTGTGGAGGATTAATAAACCAGACTATAATTAAGCATATATAAACCAAAAAACTCAACCCCAAATCTTTCATACCATGGCAATAAGCTTTGATTAGAAGAACTTATGTCGCTGCATTATTATTGGTCTGAATTATTCTCAAGTTTTTATGTCTCCTTTTGGAGATGATAATTTTATCACATTCTAGTGAGAAATTTAGTTTGTTAGAGAAAGTATGCTTCACTTGCATCAAAAAGGAAGTAAACTTGTAACAGCATAGGATATTACTGTGGAAACCCATTGATTTCAGTGAGTCTACTCACGTGATGAAGGATCAGTGGCGCATGCAGTGCTTTGCAGAACATGGTCTACGTGCTGTAACAGAACCATTTCTGCTGTGGATAATTCTCATTTTACTTCATTGCATCTCCCTCCTTCCCCTCTCCCCTAAGCTAAATGAATTTGTGTCAGCTGTAGCATTTATCGACAGTTTCACAACTGTAGGATCATTTTTAACCATAAAATTCCAAATGGTGGAATGACTAGTTTTTCTGGGACTTTACCAGCTCGGAATCCAAACTTAAAAGACACAGGAAGTGGTAGAAGTGTTGCTGTGAACCCACCTGAATAGGAAAGAAAATCTGTTATTAAAAAGGGCATCTGATGTTATAGAAAGAAGAATGAGAGTCCCATTTTCTCTCTCTGCTTGCTTTTAAAACATACATTGCTTTAATACTTCAAACAGTACTGCTTTATTATTTCTAAATGTTATCAGACATGGCTTTTAGTTCTAATAAAGGCTATTTTTCAAGTATTTACCAGATGCCTACTGAAAGAAAGAGGCATAGAAAGAGGCAACTTACCCTTTCATTCATATGAATTGAAACCTCTAGTGATCCGGTCCTGTTATTGAACTTTTATTAACTCGATATGTGGAATTCTGGTGCTAAAGCCTCTTTAGTTACTGTGACCCTTTTTTCCATGGGGCATGGGTCAAGAAACATCAAAAGAAGTTTGAATTATGTGTGGACTCCCAAGATTTTCACAGAGGCATGTAGTTCTTATTGAGAAAACATGAATCAAATGCGTGCGTGGTCTGAAAATTTCTCTGGCACTGTCTGACTAGTGAAGACAGTGATTTCTATCAAAATCAAATAAGTTCTGGAAATGTTGGACATGGTTTACAGGCAGATTTTCACCATGCAAAGGAATTAATTTCTACTCCAAAGGTGCAGTCATTGTTGCAGAAACAAAAGAGCTTGCTGTTTTCCTTTCTTGCTGTACCTAGACTTATGACTCTTGAGGAACCAGTAAATCCTGGTATGGGAATTATGTGAATGATTTTACTAACTTGAACCATAAAGCTTTTCTGGGTTACTCCCCAGGGAAATTTATTTCCCTTTAGGTTAGCAATACCTCATAAACCTTCTAAGAATCTCAATGTGAGTCCCAAGGTGAATATAATAATGATGTTTTGTTTTAGCTGAGGTTTGTAAAGGCTCCTTGTATATTAAGGAACTTCTGAATAAGTCTTCTGTGGTTTTCTTTTTTTTAGAAGGCAAAGATTTGTCTGGATTAGCAGCATATCACTGTTTTGTAGGCTGAATTTTTTTAACGACTTTAGAAGTAGGCTATAGGTTGCTTTTTGTTAAAAATATTTCTTTGAAATAGTGTTAAAAGAGATGACCCTTTGAAGTAACATGTATTTCTTTTTTTTTTTAAGTTAGTTTAAGCTTCATGGTTGCTCAAAAGAATTTTAAAGGTTGTCACTGCGATGCAATGAAGATGGCACACTGAGGTGCTCTGTGGACATTTTGTTCTTTTTACCTAATCTGTTCAAGGTGGTGTACTGTGGTAAGGACCGATCAGGCCAATGTATCTACCTGTCCTTGGATTTTTTTTTTTAGTGGATTTATTAGTGCATATTAAAAAAAAAAAAATTCTAACATCTTTTTAGAAACAACTTAATCTCAAAATACTATTTTAATTTTTCTATTTTGAATGATAAAATTTGGCCATCCTAATCAGTTTCGTAGAAAGAAATGAGGTAAAACAAAGAAAGAATAAGGGTTTTGTCTCCTATTTCACTTGCTTTGCATTCTTTAATGAGGGAATGGTGTTGTGTCTTTGGATGTGATTAACTTCCTGTGAGCAAAAGGCTGGAACTTATCACCTTGGCCATCAAAATCCATGCTTTTAAAATACAAACACTATTTTGTAATTCCTTTCAAAAATATATGAGGATTAAACTTAAACAGTTTGGGTTTTGTTCATAGTGTCATTAGAAAATTGGTTATAATTTTAGTGACTAAACATCTTCTAATTCATACCTTTATCATTTTTTTTGTTGACATTCACTTGTTTTCTGGGTGATACATTTTTAATGTAAGCAGCTTGTCTCTCTTCTTGGAATTCTCCTTGAATTATGTTTATAGATACCAATCCTTCCTTTTGCAAGGCTAATTAAGGCAACTTCATCTATTCTGCTCTCATTCTAATAATTCATCTCTGTACCTTCTCCAAAAAGAGTTCATCTCTCTTAACACGGATGATTAAAAAAGCCTGTGGGATATTCTAGGTGAGATTTCACCAATGCCTGGCTAAATAACCTTAATTCTGCTTTATTGGGAACATGTCACTTGGTATGTAGTAAGATGACATTTCTACTGCATCCATGAGGAAGTCATTAACAACTCATAGGCTTTCTCTGATGAAGCAGTGCTCCTACTTATTCTTCTTAGTCATTATCAAATGATGAGCTTCCATTTTATAGATTTTCATGTTGCTAATCCCAGTGCACAATATCTTTAAGTCATTGTTGAATTGTGGTCCATTTTTTTCTGGTAGCCAAGATCATCTGGTTCATTCTGCATGTTTTTTCTGCTGCTTCTGTGAATTGACAGTGTCTAAATTTATGCAATTATTACACCTTAAATTTGTGACAGTGTCCTAAAATGCACCCATTCTATCCTTAAGAAGTCTCCCTAGTAATCCCAGCACCTCTCAACATTGTTCATTGCTGCTTCTGGTTCAGTGCCCAAATCCTGTTCTGTTGTAATGGCTTATTTACTAATTTCCCATTGTGATGTTATAGTAAGGACATTACTGAAGCCCAGATACTATGAACACCGACGCTTCCTTCTGTAGATAATTGGCTTTTAGGTATATGTGAGGTAAATGGTTTGTTACATTTTTGGTACATATATTGTCCAATGAAACAGTTTGCCATTATTTCAATACTTTTTGTTTTATCCTTTAAAAAAAACCCCCAAAACCGAACAAAACACAAAACCCCTTTGTTCTAAACCTTTGCATGTTACTGAGGCAAGACTAAAGTCTGTAATTGTCCAGATTGTGTCTCTTCTCCTTCTGATCTTTAATGGCAGCACTATGGTTGCTGTTCCTTGGTAATACCTAACCAGCTTTGTTTAAAATGCCTGCTGCTGGGCCTGCAATTTCATTTGCTGTGTCTGTCAGAATTTTGGAATGGAGTCATACTCCCAGCTTCAGTATGTTGAATTAATGAGTTTAGCTTCTATCTCAGCTGTAATTTCTTCTTCTGTTTACATGTTTTTGTAGATGCCTTTTTTCCTCGTTTTTTTTTTTTTTCACTTGATCGGTCTTCTGGAAATGGTGGTGGTAAAGCTGGACAAGAAATGCCTGATTCTGTTTGACAAAGGTGACCAGAATATTGCAGCCTGTAACTGTGTCCAGTTGTTTAGTATCTGACAGATTTAATTATCTGACATTATTGTAGTGACTTGCCTAAGCATTTCAAGAGAAACTTTATGTGGTAGAATTATCTGGAAGATTGCCCAGACGTTGATGAAAAATGTCAAATTATGAATGAAAAATAGAAGCCCCTATTACTGGAATGATTTTCTTTTTTGTGATTTTTTTTTTTTTTCAAAATTCATTTGACCTGTTTTTTATACTGCCTATTAGACTTACAAATTGAAATCTGGGAAATAAAAATAAAATCCCATTTCCTTATTTCTGGTTTGTTTGTTCATAGAGCTCTTTCTGTATTTGACTTTTTAATCTGTTGAGGGTGCAGAGTTCCACATGACTGGTTTGAGTACTTCATCTGATCTAATGATAGAAAGAGTGGGATCTCTTTGAATGTAAGAGTTACATAAACACCTTGAATAAAAATTGGATTTCTGTTTAAAAAGAGATAGATGAAGATCTGTATCAAGGAATCTTTTTTTAAAAAAAGCATATTGATGTCTCTTAATACAGAGTGTATTTTTTGTCTGAATGATGCAATATTCAAGATACTGAAAAGGCATGAAAGAGATCAAAACTGCATATATACATTTCAGTATTCAAAATTCAGGCAGCTCAACTAAATCTCAGAAAGGGAAATAGAAGGAGAAACTGTAATACTGCTTTTGACTTTTATTTCAGATAGATGTCATGGACCTCTTTTCTCAAATTTAGGTAGTTATCCATAGCACATGGTTTTTATTATTGTGAGAAGGAACAGCTATTCATATAGCTGCACGAGTCATCTAAAGCTATGCAATATGCAATTTTATCGTGACAGTGTTCTAAATGCTACATGAAGCAGTGAGATGTAAATTCAAAGTATTCTATTATGCATATGATCAACACGTTGTGTAAATTTATGTGGAGAAATGGTAATTTTTCCCTGAAAAGCATATATACAGATCTTTAGGACTCATCACTATTTAAATGAAGAAATGAGAATGTTGGTGGTGATAGAAAGGTGTATCTGCAGGTTGACTCCTCACCAACCCTCTTACGTAAATTGTATCAAGTAAATCTACTTCTCAGCAAGGTAATATGGATGTAAAGTACAGCATTATTGGTTCAAATTTGATGATTGTGTTCAGAGTTGCGATTCTTAATGGCTTGATAATATCCAACATAGAAATTGGAATAAAATACTAGTTACGTTAACACTACATATAAATAATGTCAATATACTGTGTCAGACATAGTGTATTACACAAATATCAGCATTCATACACACAAAAAAATAAGCACAAGTCTTCCAGTTTAATCTATACTTTACTGCTTGCTATAAGCACTTACTACTGAAAGAAATGCAACTTGCTTATAGAGGCAGTGCCTGGAAACCATTTACTGGAAGTAGAATAGCAACAGTAATAACTGAAAGTCATGAGTCTTTTCACTGAAGAGAAGAATCCCAAGGAAAGAGAGGTAATCTTAAACTACCTACATAATATCAGGTAAAAATTGAAAATGAATGTAAACTAACTTTGAGATGACGCAAGGTGTATGGTGGTGTGTGCTAGCCTTGGATAAATAACTTCATGATGGCAGCCCATTTAGGTTAAGAATTAGGAGACTGCTCCATTTTGGAAGTCCTTGTCCACACCTTCTGTTCTTCTGACAGTCTTCAAGAGTCTGTAAGTGAATTATTTTTTCCACTTCATGTCCATTGAACTGGCTGCTTAATCATCATAGGCTCTTTTGAATAGGCTGGCTTCTACAGGAAATACTTACCTCCTCGCGCTTGCTCTTTTTGTGGCTTATGTCATCAGCTGGCAAGATAGAGGGGAAAAAAAATGGAAATTTCAGGGCCACAGGCAACAAGTGGTCATTTAACCTCTCTGTCTTTTTTTATTGCTATGGTAAAATAGTTTCCAATTGTGTTTTATTCTTCAGTCATAACAGCTATTGTGAATGGTTTTATTTGGTGTCTCTTTGCAGTTATTAATGATGTGATGTAAAATGTCGATTTAAGTCACAGTTTAATGAGCTGCTATCAAATTATCCTTTTGTCAGTTTTCTGCGACTGAGTAGGTATATTTGCAGTTAAATAACAAAGAAACCGTGGTTGGAAACTTATCTCAGCTCAATAATTTTACAGTTTACTAGCAAAGTGCCTACCTGTATCCACGTGTACTTCGAGCTACCTTACGTTATGTAACGTATTCACAGTTTCTGCCAGGCTTCTCCAGACAGTTTCCCCATGATTGAGTACAGGTGCTCCTAATGCAGCTGCAGCACTGAATTCTCATCAGCCATCTCTGGTGGAACAAAGTTAAGGTTGAGGGAGAATTAGTCGTAAATGTTAATTTCATATTTTTCAAAAAGTTTGGGCTTTTTTTTTTTTGTTTTTTGTTTTGTGTCTGTGCTGAACTCGCACATGGGAGAATATGAGCTACTGCCTGGCACCTGTAACAATGATGCATTTGCGACTTAATTAAGAATAGCAGATAATAGTCTAATAATATTATCTAGTATAATGATATATTATTATATTATGTTATATTATATTATCTAATATAATGTATATTTAATATAATCTATAAGCAGATCTTTTGATACATTGGTATAAAATTACTTCTTAAAACAAGTCCCTAGTTATTGCTGTATTTAGAATTATACCGAAAATGATTTTAAATACTTAAAACTCCTAGTATTGTGTGTTAGCAATAGTAAGCCTTAAACCTGTGTCTCTTGTACGTCTGTTCCAGGGTCTAATTCTTGGCTCGTACCAGAAACAAAAGGAGCAATTGTGCAAGGTGGATATGGCCATACTAGTGTCTATGATGAATTGACAAAATCTGTTTATGTCCATGGTGGATACAAAGCATTACCTGGCAATAAATATGGGTTGGTGGATGATCTTTACAGATATGAAGTTAATACCCGGACATGGTAAGTGGGATTTAGAATGTAGGAAACTAAGTTGTTGCTGAAAAAGAAAACAGAAGCATAGAGTAAGGTTCTAGTAAAGTCACATAGGCACCTCCATATCCTTTGCATGTTGCAGAACAGTGCATTCTCTGCAACAAAATGGAAGAATTGTGAGGGATCGGACTTTTGCCAGCAGATTAATGGAGCTATGCGTTGAAGGAATGGCAGGGAGGAAGCTTTGCATATGTTCTACAAATTAAGGAAATGTTCTCCTATCCAGACATAAGCACCATGCAGAAATAATACACGTGTACTGTTTCCACGTGGTATGAATATACTGCTGATACATGTTCAAGTACCTGTTATATAAATAAATCGAGAAATCTAAGAACTGTGGAAGGTTATTTTTCACAAAACTATCAGAAATAAGAGAAATTTCCTGGTATTGTATAGGGATCCTTAGTTATCAATATTCTTGGTGTTTCTATTTTTGTCAGTTCCCTGTCCTCCAATTTTATTATAATTTATGAATGCTACTTATCTATATATAGTGACCTTACAAAGTGATCTTAAATATTTTTTCTTACATTAGAGATGATTTGAGAACTATTTCTCAGAACATTTTATCTATTGCCATTTATTATTTGTGTTGAGCACCAATGGCTTAAACTTAAGTAGGCAAGACTTGCTTTCAGATGTTGGAAACATGTGGGTTTGATTTCACTAAGGTTCTTGATTTTGAATGCTACTAATTCGTGGCATTTGGAAACATTATCACAATAATTTTTTTGTCTCTTTTAATGTATTTTTAAATTGCTGGCATTTTAATGCTCTCTTATTATACTCCATTCTTGGAACAAAGTGATACATCCTTTGAAGGTCTGTTCAACAATATAATAATAATAATAATAATAATAGAATTATTTTTATTCATTATTTATATAAAAACTAATAACCAATGCTTCTATCTACACTACTGTGGCATTCTCTGCAACTTGTAGAGAACATAACTCTTACTTGTTTCATCAGTATTACACTGGAAGTCAGTTGTACTATGGGATTGAAAACTGGCTGAGAGGATGGGGTAATGACACGTAGTAATAAAATCTTTTACTATATCTGTGACATCTTATAATCAGTATTCAAAGCACTTAGTGAGGTAACTGAGCCTGAACTGACTAGGTGGGGCGTGAGGAAGAGGTGGAATCATGGTGACTTTCTCATGCTCGTGTACATGGCTTTTTTGGCACTCACATTGGCTTGTCCTCACTCTCTCTGTCTTCATCTTGCACTCGCTAACTCTCCGTTTCTCTGCCTGATCTGGCCGAGGTTCATGTGCTTCACTAAATCTTGGCATACAAAACTGGTTACTTGTTTTATTCAGTGGCACGTGGGTTTTCTTTTTCTTAGCAATTGGGCGTAAGTTTTATATTTCTTGGAATGTGAGGGGGAGGTATCTTAATTCCTAGTGTGAACATTATTTCTAATACATGATGGAGAATTACAACGTGTGTAATACCTGCATTACTGTGCATTACTTGCACACTGCTGCAGGGTTCTGCTCAGGTGCTGGGCTCAGATAATGGCCTGAAACAGCGGAAGCACTTGCTGGCTCCTGGGTATTTTTATTACTGTTATAATGTCGTGCTGCTGTACGCAACACTTGGCATCGGTATAGTTAATGTGGACTAACGTTTGCAGATATACATATATGTGCATAAATAATGAAATTCAGTGTAAAGTTTACTGAGATTCACATAATTTGCATAGGGTTGATATGTAGTGGAGAGTTCTGAAGTCTGCTGTCTCATCAGTCATGCTAATGAATAGTGAAAATCATGGCCAAATTAACAAACTCGGTCTGTATTACACTTCCGCTTCTGCTGAATCTTGGGGAAAAGTTACTGTTACCAGGAGGGATGAAGCTCAGCACACACTATGCAAAAATTAAGGAAAACAACCCCTGTACAATGTAGTGACCAGAGCTGGGGCAATGCAGTTGGGTGACAAGTAGAAAAATGAACAGCCCACAGAAAAACTGTGGGGATTGCTGTTCTATCTGCTGTTGAGAGGAGAGAATCCTTAGTTTTCCCCCGAACAGTGTACGACTTAAGGCCTTTAGTGGTCAAGACAACTGTTTGTAGACAGCTGTGAGGCAGGATACTCAAGACAGGGCCTAGTGTATTGCAGTTAATGTAAACTAGAAGGTAGGAGCTATAGACAACTGGTAAAGCAAAAGACAGAAAACTCTACAGTCCAAACGGATAAGGACAACATGTTCTTAGTTCATTAGCGTTCTTTCAACTTATAGCAGCAGTATTCCTCCATTACTCGTTGAAGATAGCTGTTAAAAATAATGTCTTGTTCTATTTCCTTGTCATTCCTAATTTTGTGTGTTGCTAACTGGTGAGTTGAAACCTAATATCAGATTTTTCTGGATAGGTACTGTAAGTATTCTATGTCAAGCTAATTCCTGGTTATGAAAACACACCTACGTGGTACTCTATTTTTGAAGTATTTTAATCAGAAGTACACAGCAAAAATGCAAGTCACTTAACAGAACATAAAAAAAGGGTTAAAAACAGAAGCACATTGATGTTATGCTGCTGGCTTGAAGGAATTACCACATTTTCAAGCAACAACAACAAAAAAATCTCGTTTACTTTCATTTAGTCTTTGATATTTTCTTTGATGATAATTTCTAGGAGAAGGAGGGACTATTTAAGTGACACCATGGGAACTTAGGTTTAATGCCTTCCTCTCAGCTTGCTTAAAGATATGTCTTATCACTTAAAAAAATATCTCAAGTTTATTGATTGATTTACATCATTATGTCAAAACAATGAGACATATTTTAAACCCACTCCCCCAAACCCTATGATGATATAAAAATATTGAACAAATGTTATCAGTGTGATTCAAGAGACAGCGTTATTCAATCAGAAGGAAAGATTGTCAAGCCAATATGTTCATTATAGGAAACGAATGACAAAACAGTTTAATTGTAGGTGTGAGCAGCATGCAGTAACACAAGTGAAAGTGAGAGTCTAAACTTGAAAACTGTTAGATTACTGAGACAAAAGGTTATTAGGGGAATGCAAATAATATTCTGTACTGCTGATCTAATCAGCTCTTCACAAACATATCTACAACTGGTCTATCTAACTAATTCAAGCTGGCAAAACTCACAAATAGTTGCACTCTCCATTGGTAAGATTTATTTGCTGTGACTGAATCAAGCTTGTATTCTGTTCTTTCTACTAGCCCCACACCTGCCACTCTAAGACTGTAATATTGGTAGCCCTTGGCTCCTGTTGAGCCCATGTTATTCCTCTGGCGCAGAGCAGACTGCACAGGCTAAAATGAATGAAGAGATATCAAAGACTCAATGTGCGTGGACTTTGTTTTTTGGTACTGAAATTCTGTATGTTTGAGTCTGCCGGCCTGAATATATTTATGAAGCAGTGCAAGTGTTTTTTGTCATAACTAGAATGACTTAGAATGCCTTCTACCATTTCTTTTCCAGGTCTGAGTGTTCAGCTCATTAAAAAAAAATCCAATACTTAGGATGGTCTAAAGATTATTTAGCCTTCTAAAGAATTCTTTTTTGCATTTCTTCAGCAAAACCCAACATGGCTAAGAATGTATAAGAATAGGAATTAATACTATGAATGCATTTTCATTCAGTTTTGAGTAAAATTTGCCATATCATTACTCAATTCTGAAGATTGTAAACATGATAGAATTTACTTCCAGTATGTTATTTGATAAACTGAATTTCGAATAAAAATAAAGGATGACATTTTAAATTAATGCTAAATATGTTTGTTTTAACATGAGAAAATTCATAATCATACAAACAATCAGAATATGTTTCATCATATTTACTGAGTAATAGCTTTAGTTTAGTGTTTTCCTTGTATTTTATGTTGTTTTCATCTATAAGTATCCTTGATGTGTATATATAGTTTTTCAAGTGTTACTATGTATTAATTTAGTCTTCTATTTTGCAGGACTATTTTGAAAGAGAGTGGTTTTGCAAGGTACCTTCATTCAGCTGTTTTAATCAATGGAGCTATGCTCATTTTTGGTGGCAACACTCATAATGATACTTCCCTGAGTAATGGTGCAAAGTGCTTTTCTGCTGACTTTCTGGCATATGATATAGGTATGTATTGTATTGTATTTTTCTTATTTGAGGCTTAAATAGCATAGTGTTGCTTTCTCAAGTCCATCTAGCGTGATTCTTTAAAGTCTAGATCCCAAACGCCTTCAAGTTATTTATAAATTATATTGTAAAATTGAAAACAGGTTTTTGTTCCATAATAGTCCATAAAGTTCTGGGTTTGTGGGAAGAAGCATAGTACCTAAAAGGATCAGTTTTTGAAAATGTGCCTACCATTGTCTTATAACATAGCAGATATGTTGCTAAATGAATTACAAAAATTAATGCCTTTTGATGTTAGGGAAGTGTGTTGAACAGAGACCCTAGTGGTTATTACCTCCAAGTGTTGATTGATTCCCCCCCCCGAATATCTACATAGTACTAATACAATATGATGCTGGAATTTAAAAACAAAACACAGAAAACTCCTCCAAACCTGAAAGCAAAACATTTCCCTCCAAGTAACACTAGAGGGTTCCTAAAAAGTTTTGGATTTAGTGGCAGTTTGGAACATGTATTGCTCAGTACTTATATCAAGGCACCACAATGGGTCTGAATTGAAAATCAGGGAGTGGAGAAGCCAAGGTAAGCAGCAGTCTGAAAGGCAAGGCAGGGGTAGTCAGGTGATGATGCTCATGAAACGGGGAAAGGTGGAGCTGCCACAAGCTGAAGAACAGTCTGGAAACATAGGAAGTCCGTACCACAAGAAGCGGAGTGTAGAGAAACAGCCTCTTGGGAGACTGTGGTAGGTAGCTGTTTGTAGCTGAATAGGTACAGGTTGGGGCTGATAGCTGAGATGCATGGATTTTGCTGGATATCTTCCTCTGACATGTTGCTCTCCCCACCTCCTGCCTCTTCCTTGCGTTTCAGATTAGAGTATTAATTAAAAGATTCCTGCCTTCAAGACTGAAATGCATTACTTGATCGGGATATCTGCCTCAGTAAATGTCTGTTTCACATGGAGCAATACCCCACCCACAGTCTAGCATGAGCAATCTTGCTGAGTGGGAGGAAAATTCTGGGCGACACTCCTCCATATAGACTAATAGAATAACTACATTAAATGAATCACGGCAATAATAGACTATGGAATACTTTTGCATTGTTATATTAAGGATAAACTGTATTTCCTTGGAAAACAGCACAATGAAAATGGCTAAGCTCTTTGTGCTTAGTTTCATGGGACATAAGAAGTCTTAGGAGGATGGTACTAAAAATAAGTTTACTTCTGAAGAACCACAGCCTGCTAGTATGCAGTATAAATACCAAAATACAGAATTCACTCCCAGTTATCAGAGTTCAAAAGTAGAAGTGAATAGTAACAAAAGAACCTCCCAAGTACTTGCTGACAACTGGTTGGGAGGAGGCTGGACTGTCATTCAGGGAGAATGAGGTGATGGGAAATGACAGTTAACACAAGATAATATTTAATGGAACAAGGTGCAAGTCATAGACTTAGGAGAAAATTCTTATAATTTCTTATAATTTCCTACAAACTGAAGGAAATGACAGAGGCTTGTGTGTCTGAGTCGGGAGTGGCATGTGGCTGTGGAAGTGGCCTATGCAGTCCTAACTGACAGAACGAAAGAGGCATCCATGCCATTCTCAAGGTCCTGGGTATTTTTGTAGAAGTTTGTCAATGCATGTTTGAGAAAGACAAATGCAAACAGGGCTCTGCATGGCAAGTGGTATTAAGGCCGACTGAAGCATGAGGAGTCTTTAGGAGATAGTAAAAGGATGTGGTATATTTAATTTTGCAAGAGAGTGTCTGAGAGCAGAAAAGATTGTTGTGTATAAATATATGATAAAAATACACTTTAGAAGAAAACTGTTTAAAGTACGGTCTCAAGCTGAGTCTTAGATGGGTGTAAGCTTTCAGTCTGTTGAATGTTTCAACCCATTAGAGCTGTGCAGTTATGGAAAAGCCTCCCTATAGGATTGTGGAGGCTGTAAATCTAAGGGAATTTAATGACTTCATAATCTGTTACCTGTCTTGTTTATTGCCACTACTGTTCTTACCATAAATAGGTTTTCCCTTCCCTAATGTTCATGTCCATATTTTATGTACAGGCTGCAAATATAAATACACAGATCGTATTTGGGCCAAAAAGCATAGCCACTTGTCCTGGGGGCTAAAAACTGAGAAATGTGTCAGAGCAGTCTGGGAAATGGACTCGTGCATGATCCTGTTGAGAATAGCCTGTGGGTAGTGCCTGGATCTATTTTTGGCAACCGTTTATCAGCTGACTATAGTGGTAGAAGAGGGTGAGACATGATCCTTTTCATAGGACTGGTTGATGGCTCTTCATGGCTTTCTGTGTAGATATCAATGCAATGTGTTTGCTTTCATATGAAAATAATCAGTAAGTTAAGTATGTGAAGCATATATGTGTTATTTCCTGCCAGTTTCGCAGAGTGTGCAAATAATGCCTTTTCAGAACAGTTGATTTTTTTTCTATGTCCCTGTATTACATATTCTGTAGTTCCTTGTAGGCATCTGATGGTGTGAGCTATTGATTTTTGTTCTCACTTCAGTTTACATCTGGTTTTAATTTTTAATGAAACAGAGCTCCCTCCTCATTTGAGAGGATAATATTACTTATTGGTCGACATTTACTTGTAGAATGTGCACTTGAGAATCAATAGTATGAGTCCCAGGATTTGAATAAATATAACTTTGTGCCTTTCATGCACCAGGAGTTTTTTATCCTACTCCATGAATATGTTGTATGCTTTTTTTTTAGTTGGAACAATATTTTGTTTTTTCTGGTTGATTACAATGTTTAATATGATATTTGTATTTTCTTGCAAGTCACATTTTCCATGTGTTATCAAACTGATGAAGTATGAAAGAAACGGATGTAGTAATTACTCTTAAAAAAATTAAATCTATGAAGAAATATTTGATTCAGACTTAATCTTCTCTATTATTCATTTCACTAAATTAAAAACACGATCTCACAGCACATATTAGATAAAGACATACTTTTTCAGAAAAGAGTAAATACTTATTTTACTAAGAATTAAATAATTATGAAATGTGTATGTTTCTGAATTTTATTTACTTTGTATCACGAGTTTTTGAACAGTGCTTGGAAGAAAAAAATATATGATGCTATCAGTATCAAGTTTCCTAGATACCTTGCAAGTGATGGAGTGTTCTGCTCTGTCTTGTAAAAAATGGGTGCTGTCTGGAAACCAGCTGAATCCTGGAGATAGACCCTATGCTATTTATGTTCAAGTTGGGCTATAGAGTACTTCTGATTATATCTCTTACTATATGTGGACATAGTCTTATGGATAGATTGCTTCAGATTTTTATTACCCATGAAAATGCTTACTCTTTTTCATATGAATGTGAAATAACGATTTTGGGGGATTAATCTCAGTTAAATTCAGCTGTCTAAAAGGTTGGTTTCTAATACAATCTGGTAATCCAGACTCCTCCTGTAGTCAATGGAGGGAGCTGAGTTTCTCCAGAGATCAATTGATTTTATCAAATGTAGGACAGAGTTGCTCTTTTTTCCTTTTCTGGATTCAGTCATTGCTCTCTAGGTACTGAACTTCGTCTACATGTATCAGTTTTAAACAGTTAAATGTAAGTGTCACAAGTCAAGCGCTCAATTCAGTCATTTTAACTGCATCTGAATATATTTGTTAAAGATAAAGACTCAGAGATCTGGAGATGTTATAAAAACTATTATGATGCCCTAATTTTCATAATTTAATATTGTTTGGTGTGTTTACTTAAATAGCAGTGAACATACTTATATGATGAGAAGTCTGCTGCGTAAAATGAGCTTTAGAAACCTGGCCTTTGGAATGCTTTTGTCCTATGATATTTTACCAAGACCAGACTTGCTGCCAAGTTGCTCTGGCAGCTCTTTAAAGAGCCACAAATGGTTATCCTCAAAGAGGTGAGGTATTTTCTGGCCGTGCTGTTATTACTTACATTATGCTGAAAAAGGAACCTTGGCAATGGGGACAGGGCTGCCATTGGCCTCAGTCTTGGATGCTGTGGTTGACCTGCAGGTTTCTAACTGATGTTGGTTATGGCTTTTCTGTATCTACTCTTCACTGGAATGCCGTACTTACCTGTTCAGTATGTAAAAAGAAGCTGAAGGGCCTCAGCTGGTAAGATCCTGCCTATTACGGATGTAATGTCATTGTTCAACATAGGATGTTTATTCAGTTCTTCCATTACAGCATTTTGAAAGATACTTGTAGCAGTGTTCTCATTTAGAAAAGGAATTTGAATAGGTGTATATAGCAAAAATATATATATGCGCTGATTGTGAAAATCTGTGCTCCATGACAGCTCTTTGGAAATCAGGAAGTTACATATGCAAAGGACAGTTTGTGTATAGACATCGTACATCATAATGACAGTTAATGCAAACTGGGATGTGTGTATCAGAAAATCTGGCTGCATACTTGTAATTAATTAATAGGGATTTATCTTTCAAAATAAGATACTATCTTATTCTTCAGTCTTTGCTGTGTAAGTGGGAAATTATATTAGGACCTGTACCCTGAGTTCCCCAGTTCCGTAGCATTGCTTTGTAATATATAAAAATCGCATACCTTTGGGAGAGTGAGCTGTGGTAGGAACGAAGTAGATAATCACCGCTGACTAAGTTCTACAAAGTGCTTAGATCCTGCAGAGATTAGTTTAAGTAAATGTGTAATAGAACTAGAAAGAAGATTGATGTGTCATTACTGATGTTTTGCTTATGTTTTCTTCTTCATACAAAGTTTGACATTAGCTCAGTCTGCTTTTTTTTTCTTCAGGAACAAAATCACATGAGTCAGTTACTGTTGGCCTCAAGTCCACCACTGTGTTTTCTGCCTACATAGTGGTAGAGTGTTTCAACCAGGCTAGTGTGCTGGGGAGTTTTTTCTGAATACATGATTAACTTAATTATATACATTGTTTAAGAGACAGAACACACTTCAGAGACAAACCATGGTGATCTGTCTACCATGAAAAAAAATCTAGTCCA